TCAGATAGACAAAATATCTTTATTTTATTCATTTCTTCTTTTTTAAATTTAGTTTTAATCAGTTATGCATGACAGTAGAATGTACTATGATACATTATACATAAATGGAGTGTAATTTCTCATTTTATTAGTTGTACATGATATAGAATTGCACTGGTCGTGTAGTCATATTTGATTCATTCTACTATCCTTCCTACTCCTATATGTCTAATTCATCCTACTATCTTTCCTACCTTCAAACGCCCCTCCCTTCACTCTCCTCTACCCAATATAAAGTAACTCTATTCTTCCCTAGCTCCCCCACCATTATTGTGAGTTAGCATCTGCACATCAGAGAGAAAATTTGGTGCTTGTTTTTTGGAATTGGCTTCTTTTACTTAGCATGGTATTCTCCAGCTCCATCCATTTACCAGCAAATGCCATAATTTCATTCTTTTATAAGGCTGAGTAATATTCATATGTATATATACCACATTTTCTTTATCCATTCATCTGTTGAAGGATACCTAGGTTAGTTCCATATTTTAGCTATTGTGAATTGAGCTGCTATAAACATTCATTTGGCTGCATCACTGTAATATGCTGATTTTAAGTCCTTGGGGTATAAATCAAGGAGTAGGATGGCTTCTGAGGAATTTCCATCCAACTTTCCACAATGGTTGCACCAGTTTGTAATCCCACCAGCAATATATCAATATATGAGTATACCTTTTCCCCTACAACCAACATTTATTGTTACTTGTTATTCTTGATATCTGCCATTCTGACTGGGGTGAAATGAAATCTTAGAGTAGTTTTGATTTGCATTTTTCTAATTGCTAGAGATATTGAACATTTTTTCATATATTTGTTGATTGATTATATTTCTTCTTCTGTGAAGTGTCTGTTTAGTTCCTTAGTCCATTTATTAATTGAGTTATTTGGTTTTTTTTGGTGTTAAGTTTTTTGAGTTCTTTATATATCTTGGAGATTAATGCTCTAATCTGAGGTACATGTGGTAAATATTTTCTCATATTCTGTAGGCTTTCTCTTCACATCATTTTTTTCATTTGCTGAGAAGAAGTTTTTAGTTTGAATCCATCCATTTATTAATTCTTGATTTTATCTCTTGCACTTTAGGTGTCTTGTTCAGGAAGTAAGATCCTAAGCAAACATGGTGAAGATTTGGGCCTACTTTTTCTTCTATTAGTTACACGTTCTCCATTCTAGTGCCTACGTCTATTTATTTACTTTTTTGTGGTACTGAGACTGAAAGCTAGTGCTTCTTATGTGCTAGGCAAGTACTCTACCACTGAGCCACAACTCTAGCCTCAGTCCTTAACAATTTTAATGAATGTTTTATTCTTGATCTTTTAGGTACTTAGGTAAACTTTATAAACACACAGTCTTAGCATTTTTAGACCCATTACTGTATCTTCATCTTTAAGAAATTGCATTAATCAGTTTTGCACTGTTAAGATTTTCAGAACTTTACTGACATCAGCGTGATTGCTTTAAAAAAATTAAATTTAAAATTAGATATGTTCTTAAATTAAGAAAAGGAAATTAAAATCTCCACTATTTTATTCAGTAGTTTTCTAATTATAGAGCTACATTAGAATTTTGTATCAGACATGAGAGCAGAGGCTGATTTGAAATTTCATTCTGTATGAACTTTATCTTATTATTTACCTTTCATCCAACACTGTACTTTGATGTCTTGAGTGTGAGTGTGTAAGTGTGTGAACTTCCCAGGATCCTTTTCTATGTTTTCTTATTTGTCTCTTTAACTTTACAGCCAGTGCATTTCATTTATCCACATAAGTTTATTAATACAAGCAATATGTGCCATGCACTATTCTGAACCATGGGGATACTATCCTGAACAAAATATGTGAATAAATTTATCACCTGATGAATCCACATTCTAGAGGGGGATATAGACAACAAACAGACAAATAAGTAAAATATATATGATGGTAGAGTTAAATGAGATGTATATAATGATGGTAATAAGTGATAATTAGGAAAAGGAGATAGAAAATTAAGTGGGGATGGGAAAGCAGGTATTGACTACTGTGTACAGTGGCCAGAGTAAACCTCACTGAAAAGGTTACATTTGATTAAAGACTGGAAAACAGTAAGGGAGCTATTACCCACATGGCTGTCAGAGGAATTAATTCAAGCAGTAGAGGAGAGAGCCTGAGGAAGGTGTAAATGTGGCAGTTGCAAAACAAAAAGGAAGTGAAAGTGACTGGAGGGAGGTTTATAAAGAGGGGAAATAGAAGAGGTAAGAAAGACATTAGGGAGGATTTATATAGGATCTGATAGGACATGGTAAATAAAGAATTGGCTTTTAATTTTATTCATTTTTGTTTTGCTAAGACTTTGGCTTTTATTCTGAGGGAAATGAAAATGTTGAGCAAAGCCCTGACTGCTGTGTTGAGTTGCCTAAGGTTGGAAGGGGAGAAATGGTGTATTTGGGTTTAAATATTGGTGTGGTGGTTATTATTGTTTCATTTCATATTATACTTCTATGACCTGATGCATATCTTTGTTTCTAAATTTCATATAAGAATGCCTTCCAGGGTAATCCAGTTATTCACTGATAAGAATTTTTTTTTGAGAAAATGTAATTTATATTTGAATATGACTTGAAAGTTTTTTTCCCCCTATATATCCATATTTAGAATAGCTTTGTCATCTCTGAGAAGATCCAGAGATCATCTGTTTCACCAGTGAGTAATTTGAGACACTGAGAGCTCTTGCTCAGTGTAAAATGTATGAATATCTTCCATGTGAAATATTCTTAAGCATCAGAGCTCATATATCAAAGCTGGCCTGGCTGCTTCGTACAAAAGTTCTTTAGGCAATTTATTAACAACTACTCTGAATTGACTATAACACAAACTGCCTTGAGTTTAAATATATATGTAGTTAAATAGTAAACTTTTCCCCCCATCTCCTTAATGTGTTTTTGTTCCTCAACTGATAAAACAGATATGTATGTACATTTAGGTTTTATATAAATTAAATTCTGATGAGTTAAATCTTTATACCATGGAAAAAGAGCTTTGAGTTTTTAAACTTTAAGTGGAAAAACAGTTCCAGTACTGCAAATAGTATCAAATTTAGATAGTTTTCAATGTTCTTATCTCTGTCTTGTTTTTTTTTCCTTTTCTTTTGACAGGACTTTATCATTGAGCTATATCCCCAGCCAGCCTAAAAGTTCTCATTTTTTATATCCTTTTTACCTGACACAACATAATTATACAGTATGATAACTAAATGTATGTGTACCACATGTAATGGTTAAATCAGGGTAATTGCATTTCTATCTACTTAAACATTTGTGGTTTTGGGGGGAGGCGAGCCTTCAAACTCTTCTCATTCTTTATAAAACATATATTAATATTTGTAAACTATAGTCACCTTAACATGCTATAGAGCATTATAATTTATTCTTTTTATATAATGTATTTTGATACTTGTTATCCAGCTTCTTCCTCTTCCCCTTCCCCATCCCCTTCCTAGCTTCTAGTGATCACTATACTGCTCTCTAATTCTATAAAATAGGAAGTTTTTATTTCTTAAAGTTTTCTTTAAATTGTACACACCCATGTCTGTATCTGCATTTATTTGCTACATATGTTCGCATGGACTTTTTGTGAATAGTCAGAAGATTTTATTACATTGTATCATAACTCTTCTTGAATTGAAAAATATGGCCAATATGACATTTTTAGTTGCTATATTTACTGCTATGAGTTCATCCATGTAATGGCCTACCCACAAGTCAAAATTGTCTTAATAAGCTTTGGGAAAATGCTACTTACCCGGTGATCTGAAATAAAAATATGCTAAAATTTGAGCATGTTGGTATGTGAAGTTTTGTCACTGGTACATTATATTTCTTCCTTAAGAGTGCATGAGTCAAGTAGGTGGTGCATACCTATAATCCTAGTAACTCAGAGAAGCTAAAGTGGGAGGATCTCAAGTTCCAAATCAGCCTCAGCAACTTAGCAAGACCTAGTTCCTTTTTTTTTTAAAAGAGAGTGAGAGAGAGAGAGAGAGAGAGAGAGAGAGAGAGAGAGAGAGAGAGAATTTTTTTAAATATTTATTTTTTAGTTATTGGCAGACACAACATCTTTGTTTGTATATGGTGCTGAGGATCGAACCCAGGCCACACACATGCCAGGCGAGCGCACTACCTCTTGAGCCACATCCCCAGCCCAAGACCTAGTTTCAAAACAAAAAATAAAAAGGGTTAAGGATGTAACTCAGTGGCAGAGCATCCCTGAGTTCAATCCCAGTACAAAAAAGAAAAAGAAAGTGCATAAATGAGTGTTTTTGGTAATAAATACCATAGCATAGAAAAGCCAACTAATTACTATGTTGATAATAAATGATCAGGGATTCAAATATTTATGATTGCATTAGTTACACGTCTTGAAACTTTTGATATGATTTTTAATAATCCAAAATTTTATCAAATGGAATTATCTGTAGATATATGTTAACATATTTTTTATTCCTTAACTTGAAAGTATTGTAAGCTTTGTTTCCTTTGGTTATCATTTTGACAAAATGCATTTCAGGTCTGTTAGTTTTTTTTTTTTTTTTACTCTTAATATATATATTTTAGTTGTTGATGGACCTTTATTTTATTCATTTATTTATATGCATTGCTGAGACTCAAACTCAGTGCCTCATACTTGCTAGGCAAGTGCTCTACTACTGAGCCACAATACCAGCCCTTTCTTTTTACTCTTAATAAACTTGAATTGGGTTTACTCAGTGTTAAAATTAATGTTTTCTGTCAAAAGGTTGATATTGGAGCTTTAGTTATCCATTTAAAATTTTTACCATCTTAACTAGCTTAAGTAGATAATCCAGTAGTGTTAAGTGTATGCATGTTGTTGTGTTAAATGTCATTGTTAAATGGAACTGAATTTCTGATGAATGTAGTCTTTCTGAAACAATGTCTTCATATTTGTTTTACCTTATTGTTCTGTCTCCAGAATCTGTATCGATTTGAGGGCACTGGGTTTACAAACATCCCTCAACTAATAGATCATCACTACACAACAAAACAAGTCATCACTAAGAAATCAGGTGTAGTTCTGCTGAATCCTATTCCTAAGGTAAGTGTGCTTATACACATAATGTTTGCTTTAAAAGAATGCTTGGTGAGTTAACATTTTCCCTGGTAAATAAAGTTCTTAGACCATGTGTCTGAAACTCAGAAACAAAAAGGTTTTGTGCATACCACTACCAGTATACCAATACAGTTGAAGTAAGTATAGGATTTCCTTAATTTCTTTTTTTTGGGGGGTCGGGGGTGGTGGGTATCAGGGATTGGACTCTGGAGTACTCAACCCACATCTCCCATCTTATTTTGAGTTGCTTAGTGCCTCGCTTTTGCTTTTGGGTGAGACTGGCTTTGAACTCAGGATCCTCCTGTCTCAGCCTTCTGTGCCGCTGGGATTACAGGCATGCACCATTGTTCCCAGCTGAATTTCCTTAATTTTATAAGATGTTTGCTAGGATATAATATCTGAATTTCTCTCTCTTTGTTTTGCAGTTTTTCTTGAAAGACTTGAGGCTTTTCTTTAAGTTTTATACTTTGAAAGCTTCAGGTTATAAAAGACTAAGTAATGTAGACTTGAGTGATATTCAGCAGTTAGGAGTAAATTAGAATTTTACCTTTAGATGTGAGGTTTCCAAGATACTGGAATTTTTAAAAGCTATGCTACAAATTCAGCAAATCATAATTTCCCTGTGTAGAGCCAGATAGGTAGGTGAGAGATTGCTTTAGGTCACTTTTATCTCTAAGATCTATCAAAGAACTCCTTACTTTCATGTGATATACACGAGATTGGTTAGGTAAGAAATGGGTGTAAGCAAGGTTTGTATTTTTAAAACAAAACCTGTGGGGACCAGAACAAGTGCACTGTGGAGCTGACTTAGCCTCTAAGCACCTTCAGTGTTCAGAAATTATGTTGGGACTGGTAACTTTTTTTCCTTTGGCAACTGTCTGATATGAAGAACAGCATAGAAATAGGAAAGTCTCAAAACTTGATGGATAATATTTATTGATTTTTATAGATTAAAGGATGGCTTTAATTTTGAAATACATTCCAGTCCTAAGAATGCTGTTACATAACACAGATTTAGGGACTTGAAAAAATAATTGTTACATTTTTCTGTTGTTAATCTAGAAAATAATGTCCATATTTAAACTTTATTATATTGCTAAGTCTTCACTGAGGGGCTGAGCTTTAATAGTTCTTTCATAGAAGATTTTGATAGTTGGTTGCTAAACATTCTAATTCTATAGTTTAAGGACTTGACATTCTTATTTTTTTAATATTTATTTTTATTTATTTATTTTTTTTAGCTGTAGTTGGACACAATACCTTTATTTATTTATTTTTATATGGTGCTGAGGATTAAACCCAGGGCCTCACACGTGCTAGGTGAGCGCTCTACTGCTGAGCCACAACCCCAGCCTAGGACTTGACCTTTTTGTATAATTTTTTTAGAATTGCAAAGTTGTTTTATTCTTTGTTGATATTTTCCATTTAATTATAGAAAACCCCATAAAAATTCTCTAATCTGGAACAGGTTGTGACATTTTTTTCTAGAAAATAAAACTAGTTTGCTAGCATTTTTTTTGTTTATGAATAAATACTGTTTTTCACAGAATTCCCATATCATTTTATGTCAGAGTAATCTATTCTCATGGTTTCATTTATTATTTATAAATTAATAACTAGTAAATTTATATTTCTAATGCAGCATTAGCTTTCCCCAAACTCAAGAATTTCCCTAACTTTTACCTCAAACTCAGTTTAACATATTTAACTCTAAAAGTTGTTCTTCTTCATTTAGTAAGTGGTGCCACAAAATATCCCAGTTCTCAAAAATCATAAACTGATGGGTCATCTTTGACATCTTCACCACTGCTTCCCTCCCTAAGTGGTGGGAGTTTTATAGTGTTAATTGCACATTTGGAGTATGACCTCAATTTCATTAAATCCTAGTGTAAATCAAATTCGGTGCAAGAAGATACTTTTTACCCATGTAAGGTTAACAACATATAGAACTGGGTTTTCGAGATATTGATATCCTATTTCACAAGCCAACCAAATATTTTCACTGTCTAAAGGTTTAGAAAAGTCTCAAGTTGAGGGACCAAAGCTATAATAGAGAGAAATAGCAATGCAGATCTGGGCATGGGTATGAATACATAATTTCAAGTGAAACAGTACCCCTCACTATATAAAATTTTCTGTGAAATTAACGCAGATAATGGATTAGATTTTATGGACTATTACATGGTCAGTTATTATCTTTTTCTCCAACCTCCAACACTGTGAAGTTGATTATCTCATCATTTTATAACACTAGCTATGAAAATAAATGTATGCTGGAAGCTATAGAAGATTAAAGAATTATATACGATTGTTTTACGAGGTAGAAACTTAAAGTTTCTACCTGACTATTAAGTTGATTTAAAGTACTGGCATTTGAAATATGGAAATTATTATCTCAGTTCATTATAAATATTGTTAAACATTTGATTTATAAAGAATCATATTACTCTTTTAAAAGATAATCACAATGCAGAGGTTGTGAAAGTTAGATAATTTTCAATTATGACTGAAGAACAAATTGATATGGATTTTGTTATGGTAGTATTTATCTGTCATATATCTTCCTTTGAAAAGTTATTTGTACTCTTAAAACCAAATCCCTTTCTTGATTTAATTTGTGTAAGAAGTTACTATCTATGACCATATAATATGCTATAAATATCTAATTTTCACCTTGTTAGACTTCATTTTTAGCCCACATAAAGAATGTTATTTTGCTTTGAATATAATTTCCTATTTATTTCTCTTCCCATTTATTTTTTCTCTTACCCATGAAAATTCAAGTTTATTATTCTAATACTGACAGTGACCAAAGTAGTCTCTCTTATATTTATGTCCTTGTGAGTATTCACTCAGAGGTACATGAAATAGAGCAATCAGAGGTGAAGAATTTACCTAACTTTAACACAGTAATAATGCTAGTGAGTGCCCACACTATCCATTCTTCATCTTCCATGAACTGATTTTTCCTACACTGCCTCCTAGAGCCTGTGTGCAGATATAGAAGATGGAAAATATTGTAAGCAGGGCATATTGAAAACCCATTATAATTATCCTGGGATTAGCAAACATAAAGGACATGCATATGGTCTGTTCTTTACTTAGTTCAGGTTCTGCTGAAATATCATTTATCAGACAGGTCTTTGCAGAATGCCACATATAAAATAGCACATTCTCTTCTTTCCCCTTTTAAAAATTTCTATGTGTCATGGTTATGTTTATCTACTATTTAATGATGTCTCTTTTTTTCAATGATATCTTTTTAATTGTTTACCTCCCAAAAGTGAAATGTAAGCTCCATAAAGTCAGCATTATATTTAACAATTACTGCAGCCAAGTTCCCAACCAGAGAGTGCTGTACCAGAGTAGGTATTCAATAAATATTTGTTGAAAAATTGAATGCATTGAGCAGTTGCTGAACTTTTGAATTCCTCTCTGTCAAAAGTCCCTCTCTCCCTACATCAACAGTGCTAGCCTTTGAACCCTGGTTCTCTACCATGCTAGGCAGGTCCTGTCTCACTGAGATATACCCCCAGATGCCCACTGGATTTTTAATAAATCTCTATACAAGGAAAATCATTAAACTCGAGTATTGTGTGGACAGAGTTGAGATTTGAGTTAAACTTAAGGTTTGGCAAATATGTGTGAAAGAAGGACATCTAGTTTAAGTTTAACATGTAAATTGCACTATACCAGCTTTGTTAAATTAAGAAGTTTTCAGATTTAGCTTTTTTTAAGAAAAAAAAATATCTATCTGATTGGAAATTAAATTTTAAAAAGTTCATGATTAAATGAAGATCAGTTAGGCAGAGAGCCATTAATTTACTCCTTAGAAGCTTGAATCAAGTAGTTGTGACTTTTTATCAGAATTTGGTGTTGATTGTGAGAATATTAGAGGCATATTTTTGAGAGGAAGTAAATCTGTATGTTTGTGAATGTATTATGTTGTTATTAGGAGACAGGTTTGTGGTAACAAGAATTTATAATCATACATGTGCAAAAACAGTTATGATTAAGTTCATATGATTAGGAGAGGAGAATTGATCTTAAATTAAGTTCTTTATTCATATTTTTAGTTTCAGATGACTTAAAGACTACTTATTTTACTTTATATTTAAGTAATATAGCTTGCCTCTTCCAATATTACTGTTTAATGGTTTTTATAGAAACTTATGATAACAGTTTTTGATATGCTGAAGTCTTTTTAATATAAAGCATTATGAAATCAGAGACTTCCTTTTTCTTAAGTCACTATCCATTTCCTTAATACATTGAGATTGATTGGGTAAATTTTAAAATAATTTAAAAGTTCAGTAAAGAAAGAAGAACTGAAAACATACATGAGCCAGTGTTTTCCCATGAAGTAGATATTTACCTAGGTACCCACTAGTACCTAGTACTCAGTCTGTGCTGAGCAGTGTTCGGTATTATGACAGAATGCAAAACTGCTATGAAAATAAACTAGGATAAAGATATAAAGATATAATGAGGGCCCAGGTTAGGTATTGTGTGGTGTGTGTGTGTGTGTGTGTGTGTATGTGTATGGGATAGTTACTGTTTTTAAACATTATGATCAAAGAAGGCCAAATGTATTTTGTGCAGAGATGTGAATCAAATAAAGAAGTTATATGTGTGGTTATATGCAGGGATAATAATGAAATGTTTTAACAGTGTAGTATGAATAAGAAGCTATTAGATGAGATATCAGCTGTAAACAAGTGGTAGAGCCATCCATGTGTTCAGTGGTGGAACATCTCTATGTGTACCTGGGGAAAGAGTTCCTTGGTGTTATGAGGAACTGCAGAGGCTACTGTGCCAGAAACAGTGATTGAAGGAAGAGTGATGGGAGATAAGTACAGCTTTGGATTAATTTAATAACTAAATATATGCTGTCTTAAGAAGTTAGTTGTTTATCATGGAGTCTAAGAAATTTACTTCATTTGAATAGAAACTTAGAATAAAATTTTATAAGTTTACATAGTGAG